TACCACACTAGGGTCCAGTCTTCTGACGAGGTGAATACATTCTATTTGTATATGAATACGTATAGAATGTAAAAATGCGAGCAAGTAGGAAGTACGTTAAACTAACCAGGATGGAATGGAGACTAACGGTAGATGCAAGAAACTGAATGAAGGAACGCTACTGACCGCGCCACTGAGCTATATTTGATTGTGTCTCTAACTATTGGTGTGGAGTATCCGGAGGCCCTACCCATGATGACGGCATGCACCAGTAAATAATTTTGAAGTGTTCATCCCGAATAATGGACTCGTCAGCTCGAACTTTTGTCCAAGTTTGCGTAGCCGCGGTGTGTAATACAAACCGACGAAGTCAGTCAACTGGCATAGAGAGGACATGGCTTAGTCAGCGTAGGCGGTTAAGATACAACAAACGCTCGAGTGAAGCGCCAGGTTTTTTGCCAAAAATCAACCGACGGACCTAAGTATTGGCCATTAATAGTTCCCAGCGGACATGAACAATACTACGCAAGCACCTGTGGTCAGACACGTCCAAGTGCTTAATGGTCATTGCGAACTGACCAGATCTCTGATCCATGGAGTAAGATCGGCCTTATCGCAGCGTTATGGCTCTACCACCGACTAACAGATTGATATCGCGCCCTATCCATAGATGGTTGAGCATCTGGAAAGCCATACAGGATTTGCTGATATGTGAAGTAACCTCCTGTGATGTGACCACAAGAGGTGACAGCTACCAAGGTAAGTGAACCGATCTACCATTGCCACTGATTGTTCGATGACAGCTAAATCTGGTGATGCATTGGTTCAGTTCTGCAAAAACACTTTGCAAAGCATATGCCGAGACGTGCGGCGCTACGCACCAGTCTATGCTGCAGTGTTTGCATAGCCAATGCGTCAGATCCAAGGAGAGCTATGTCGTCCGCATTCTCTATGTTTGTCAGTTCGTTACCTGGAAAGACCTATACTTAGGAGAAAGCTAAAAGAACGAGATCACTTGTGATCACTTCGCTCATAAAGGTGAAAAGTGGTGGGGGTATAAGACAACGCTGATGAACCCCACTTGTAGTGGGCAAATCAGGAGACAGTTTCCGGTAGACCCTAACATGGCCTCGGGAGCGGTAGAGCGACTTCAGTATGATAAAGATTTCGTTCGCACGCCCTGCACCGATAGCCGGTGGCGTGGTCAACAGAGTCGAACGCGGCTTTCTAGTCAAAAAACCACCATAGTCGGTCGTCTGTATGTGCGGCTCTGCTCTGACACTTACCGAAGTGTAAATTTGCGGTCGACGCAACCATGACCAAGGCGGAAACCAGCTTGGGTTTCAATGATAAAGGTCTCATGAGGAGCGAAAAACCGCAGCAGGGTGGTGAATGAGAGAAGCCTGGAAGCCTGGAAATAAGGTTAATTCCTCGATGATTTTCGCACAAAGTGCGCTGCCCCTTCTTGCAGATGGGCAAGACAGTCTCCAAAAGGAAGACACCTCTTTATTGTTCTAAATCGTGTGAAATAGAGAAGCAAGTCCGGTCAACAGCTACTTTCGCTTACAGCAAAAATGGAGAAAGGTCATTGAATCCGTCAGCCTTGTTTCGTTTCAACAAGAAGAGCTCATGTCGTTTCACTTCTAAAGTGGGATGTGGGACAATATCCCATGCCGGTTCAGGTGATTCAGTAAGCGACAATATCGCAACATGCCTGGTGAACCGCTCTTCAAAATGTTCCGCCTAACAGGCTAGTCGACGAGACTGAGAAAGGATCGACTGTCCAGCTTTCTCAGCCGCTGACTCACTAACTAATGGTTTTCTTGGACCCGTGTTCCGGATGAACTGAAATAGTACTCAGCTCTTCCCAATAGTACTGGCTTTCTCCATTTTACAAGCTCGTACTACCCACCAACGTCCTCGGTCAATTCTAAGAACTTGTCAATCGCCATTTAGGAGCATTACGGACTCGTTGAAATTTATTAACCATTAGCAACTGTTTCCGTACTTCGAGCAAACAAATCGAGGTGTCAGGGATCCATTGACAATTACGAAGTCTCAAGTCGAGTACACAGCAGTCATCAGATGCACTCTTCCTGGCACACTTGAGACGATGCCAGTCTGCGTTCGGCTTACCAACCTCATTCAGCACTGACAGTCAACGGGCCGGTTGGTCGGGATAAAGTTGTACTGCAGATTGTGAGTTCAGGTTACAAATATGAAGGTTAGAAGTTAGGCACTCTTTTGAAGCGGGAAGAGTGAGCTCCAGGACTGCAAGTACTAGGGCATGGTCAGAACCCAGCCACGTGCTACAAATTGTATGACAGTCTCGAACTGATGTGAACCAGCTGTAGCTGATGGTAAAGTGGTCAATTTCGGTCCAAGTCGTCGAGGAATTCGGTGGGCGCCAGGTGACACGACGTTCGGCGCACAGTAGTGCGGATTGATCACAATTGTCTGTTCGGCGTGCACCGACCCCGAAGCGGCCTCCCAGGTGTTATTCATAGTTAGAAAAACGAGTCACTTGGGCATTCAAGTCAACAGCAACAAACACGATGACAGTATTTTGCGCTATACGGAGAAGAGATGCAAGATGGTAATAGAAATCGTCTGATCACCTGCCGAACTGCAGTCAGTAGGGGGCATAAACAGAGGTGATGAAAAGCCCCCTTGTCTTCAGACAGTGCTTATTAACCCCAGTAGATGTCCGAAGTCGAACAGCACACATACGGCTTTTCACCGGCATCCAGTCGAGTAGATTGCTTTCAGCATGCTTACTAATAGCAATACCAACACTATCCATCCTGAGTAGGTTCAAACGATGTCGGTACTTTACGCAGGACATACGATGGTCGTGGACGGTAGGTGCCTTGGGAATATAGTGGGTCACAGGGACGAGGAGTACCAAGACAATAGGGCATCAACGGTAGGGATACAACAAGAGAACCGTGAGCTTGAGCATCTTTGGACTACAAAAGGAAGGTATAAACATCTAACCATCGCTGTTTTGCTTTGGAGCACCCGCCGTGTCTGGATTGCGACACGCAATCTCGATTGAGGCTAGTTTGCTTTGAAGTAAACATCGACCATTCCGATCGATGAGACCGCATCTGAAGTTCCGGATCAACAGTTGCAGGAGAAAACAGCTCCGAGATTCTTCACATATCCAACACATATCTAGAACCAGATGTGACACGAATTCCCGTGCACATTTGTCGATAAAGCTTGCATATGTTAAAAGCTAACCATCGTAGTATATCAGCCCCCCGACCAGCTTGTCACGTTTCAATAACGGAAAGGGTTCCAGGACCTGTGGTTTGCTCAGGTAATAGCTGGCTTTGAAGATTTGGCCAACCGATATAACATCGTACATTTTGATTCCTGCCCAGAAGTAGGCTAATTGCCACAGTTTGTACACTAGAAGCACGAAGCATGTTCTTGGGTAGGGCATTCCAAGAAGTGACAACCTTAAGTACCAAATGAAAATCAGCCCTAACCCGATCAGATCGGGATTGAGTTACTTCAATGGGTGACCCTAAACAGTTGGTATCCGAGCAGGAGGAAACAGTAGGAATAGATCAAGTTCATCGGACTAGTCGATATGCGAAGTATAAGGACTGAGTGACGCTGAAGGCGCCCATAGTGCGGGGAAAACTGCAACCTGAGCAGTCGATCGGGATACGACAAATGCCTTGGCTCAAGTAACAATTTAGTACCAGCACTTAAAACTCACTCAACTGTCATCGCATCTCGGACTAAACATAGAAGACATGCCTGCACGCAGTACTCCAAGTATGATTTTAAGGTAGAAGAACAAAGTAAGCATGTTCTTCGTTATCAAGCCGAACGATCTGGTGTGTGTTGAGAACGATAGCCCAATGGGAGACTGTGTCCTCGTCTCGAGAAGCCAAAAGAGGTCATGGTTTGAAAAAAAACCCAACTAACGACGAGTGACACCAGACTAATTCCACCATGGTATCCCAATAACTGACCCCGCCTATATGTAGTACGCGTTCAGTCGAGAATTCTGAATCTAGTGGGTACTTAGGTCGTAATGGAACTGGAGAGCTGCAATGCAAAACAAAACAAATACCTCGTAGGTTGCTGGGTGCTAATATCACAACCACCTAGTAATAGACCTCAACAAACGAAACGTGAAAAAGAAGATGAAGCATCAATAGCTGTCTAACCGAGGTTTAACTACCAAGTTACATTTGGGATCATTACTAGATCCCGCTTAGACCTGTTACATACAACCATATGCACCCAATACCTGTCGGCATAAGTGAATGGCCAGTCGTCCCATGTGGTTGCTTTCGGTCACACGGAGACATGAGAAAAATACGAAAAGAAATGGTTGCATGTCCAAATGACGGCAAATATTATGATGCAACCGGGCTTGACTCATAAGCCGCTTCTTATTAATAAGATCGCCAGCGCCAGTGACTGATAGTGCAGCTGAGCGACCGATTTGTCCATCCCTGGGCATCTCAGCGAGGTACAGTAGAGTAACAGAAATTTGGGGCGGAGCCACACATGCTGAGTTCTGCGTTATGAAGCTGTGGGAACCGATTTGCGCTGAGTGCGGACGGTAGTTGAGACTAAGCAAAATGCATTCCAGCCACACTTTAAGGATAGGTGATTTTGGGTGACTTAAGCATATATCACTAGGACGGCCAGAAGCAAACAAATGGTTGCCTAAGGACACTCTAAGGGTCACTCCAGCGTACACCAATAGGTCACCCGTGCTGATCGGTGGGCAGTAGGAAACTGGACAGGACCTATGTAGAGAGTGACAAGAACTGCGCATGGGTAAGGCAGTATTTCAAGCACACTGAAATGGCGTAGTCGTTTCAATGTATTCACCTCTTGGACCTAGGCATGCAAGCCAACCACTCCCTGGATACATTTTAACTAAAGTGGGCACTATTGACTACATGGTACACCCAACAAACTGAGATGATATTGTTAACAGCAGCGAAAAATGGGTAAATGAAAAGAAAAACGAGTACCAAACATACCTTGCTCTCCCTATCCAGTTCGTTGCGTAACCACTCAAAATCTCTGTATCGACGACGGACAGATGATTCCTTTAAAGCAAATATAGGTAGGTTCGTCTGAAATACTTAGGAGTAGGTTCTACTCACTCTGAGATTCACCTCATAATCGGTATAACGGTTTTTCCCATCACCGTGCGTTATTGGTCGACACACGTCAATCTCGAGAAAATTCGCAGGTGGCGAGTATGCATCTTCTATCGTTTGTCTTCTTGGAGCGAGTCGCTGAGTAGCAGAGCTGACAACAGACGACTCAAGCATGAGGGAAGGTGCTACCGTACAGCAAGTCGTGCGTGAAAATGGACTGCGAGTAGTGACCAGTTCCCAAAAGTTGTGCAGATGTAGATGTGCCAAGATTTTTACTCAAATTCGGTACGTTACGCTGTGCATTACGAATGCAGTATAAACACCTTAGCATAAATAAGTGTTATGCAAAGTTTCCACTTTGGCTGAGTTCACTGAGTTGTAGAGAGCAGGAGGGAAATCCCTTGTCAGCCCCATCGATTCCGTATTGGGTTCATTGGGGTTGCGTGCGCATTGGGTTTGATGCGTGTCGTTGCATTACGACGTTCCTCGAGGGTTCGTCGTAATTGCAGTGACAGCCGCAAGATTCCAGCATTCTCAGCGAATGTTTGTCTAGCAGCCGCTTGAAACTTCCTCGGATGGAGCGTCTGTAATTGCTTCCGGTAAGCTGTTCCAGTCATGCACCACTCTAGTGGATTAGGTGATGTCCTTGCGAATTTTGTGTCTTCTTTGCCTAAACAGCTTCCATGTGTGTCCTAGGGTGGCACTGTCCGTGTTGGGCGGGAAGAATTGTTGTAACTCACTCCCAAGTTCCCCTCGGAGGGTGCGCCTAGTGTAGATGAGATCACCCCCAGTGACTGCGGAGCTCGAGTGAGAAAAGATTTAGCTGCTGGAATCGAATGGGTTACGGGAGATCGCGGAGCTCCAGAACAGCTTTCGATGCACGTCTCTGAACCTTTTCCAGCAGAGCGTATTCAAACTTTGAAAGCGGATGGCTACATTGTAGGCCATATTCTAAGACTGGACGGACGGAAGTAAACAACGGTCGAAAAATCTCAGGAGTCATTCGAGCGAATGATCTTCTTAAGTCACCTACCAGTCTCCTTCCAGTGGCCACCTTCTTTAACGTGTCCTGCGTCGTTCTAAGGTCAGAAGTCACGATATGCCCGAGATCTCTTTCGTGGGTGGTATTCCTAAGGAGAAACCCACCAATGTGGTATGCACCGTACGGTTCAGTGCTACCCATTGGCAGAACAGCACATTTATCTCGGTTTACTGGTAGTTCCCACTTGATGGACCATTCGTGTAGCTGGTCTAGTGCCCTTTGTAATCTGTCCGCATCCTCAATGCTGCATATTGTTGACCATAGTTTGAGGTCATCGGCGTAGATCAAGCGGTCGGTTTGAAGTGCAGTAGGCAGATCGTTAATGTACAGTTTGCAGAGCTCTGGTCCAAGCACTGATCCTTGGGGAATGCCGCTAGTCATAGGCACTGGGGCGGAGAGGGTTTGGTTCACTTGTACGCGCATTGTCCTATCTCTTAAGAAATCGGAAATCCAGGAGAGAAGATTTCCTATAATGCCAATTCCCTGGAGTTTGTTTAGCAATCGCACGTGTGGAACCTTATCAAAGGCTTTGCTGAAGTCAATGAATATTACGTCAATCTGTTTTCGGGCATCTATGGCTTCTGCCCATGTTTCTTTGGCGATGAGTAAGTTAGAGATGCATGGACATGCTCTCCGGAAGCCATGTTGAGTAGGTGAGATGAAGTTTAGATCCACAGTGTAGCTGGAGGGCGCACTTGACTATTCGTTCAGTGGTTTTGCATACGGCTGATGTCAGGCGTATTGGCCGGTGGTTGATCGGGTCTTGTTTGTTTCCCCTTTGTATTTGGGCAGGATGGTACCTGCTTTCCAACCTGTGGGTGGGCAGCCAACTTCGAGGGATTGCCGAAATACTTGACAGAAAGTGGCGGCGACGTACTCAGCTATCGTTTCGAGGAAGCTGGGATGCAATCCGTCCGGGCCTGGGGAGGAGTTCGGGTCCAGTTCGAGAAGTAGCTTAGTGACTACTTCGGGGTTAATTTCAACTTGATCCATAGCGGAGTGCTGTGCAGGCAAACAACTGTTGAGCAATGGTGTCTCCACTGAGTAGACCGAGGAATATTGCGCAGCCAATAGATTTGCTTTTTCATCATCACCGTAGAGGACGGTACCTTCCTTGAAAGAGCATAGAGCGGGGATTCCACTGCCAGTTTTTGCATTTCGCTTCAAGTAAGCAAAAAGTTTCTTGGGACAGTTTTAGGATTCCATAGCCAGTCTATGTTCATATTGTAGTCCTTTGTCTCGTTTTCTCAGGGCGCATAGGTTTCTGACAGCTTTGTACTTTAAGTAGCTTGATGTCTGTCCTGTGCTCTTGAAATGATCCCATAGTTTTCGACGTTTTTTCATTAGGTATCTTACTTCTTTATCAATCCATGGGGGTCCTTTGGATGGCGGTCTGCTCTTGCAGTTTGGAACAACCTGTTCAATGAGCCGCATCATCATAGATCGTAGGCGTTCCCATGCGTCATCAAGCTCCAAGGATTGCGGGATACTTCTGTCCACGTTACTTGCAGTCGTTCTTAATCTGGGCTGGTCAGTACGCCAGAAATCTCGACGCAGTGTCTCCTGATCGTGGATTGTGAGGCGTCGTGTCCACGAAAAGGAGACTGTACAGTGATCACTCGTCCCAAGAGGTTGGAGGATCGTTAGATCTGAGACATCAGATGGTGCCGAGGTGAGAACCAGGTCGAGAATGTTTGGTGTCTGACCAGGGACCATTCGCATTGGTGTCAAGACATGCTGTGTCAGGTTGCACTCGTGAACGGTATCAAGGAGATCAACTTCAAAGTAGTCAGGTGAGAGATCACTGTGAAGTAGGTCCCAGATTACGTTGGGGCGTTAAAGTCCCCCAAAAGGAGGCAATTCGTTCCTCTGCTGTTAGTTCGCACGGAATGTAGCAAGTGTGAGCCAGGTGCTGCAGGGGCTCTGAAGACAACCCCGACCATCAGCGACTGGTATCCATCATGAATTCGGCACCAGAGTATTTCCGACATATCATCCTTGTCACAATCGGGTTAGACAATGTGGGCCTTGAGGTAGTTCTTTGTGTAGAGGATTACTCCGCCTCCAGACCTACCAACAAAGCTATCGCTTCGAGGTAGCTGATATCCTGAAACATGAAACTCCGAGTCATATATGTCAGATGAAAGCCAGGTTTCGGTGAAAGCCATTAGGTCCGGTTGCTGTTTAGAGATTAGGAGTGGAACCTCATCTAGCTTGTTTCTGAGACTGCGCACATTCGCCTGTATTACCCGTAGTCCGTTCTTTATGTTTGAGGTCCTGGAAGAAGGAGGATTGGCCTCCATCGAGCTCTCTGAGTTTTCTTGACCACGCGAAAATCCACTATGTGTAGATCTGCTTCTCCATTTGCACGTCGAGTTCGCAGCTCGCAGACAGCTTGCCTCATTCGAACTCGGTCCTCCGGGGAGAGGTCTTTCAGAACGTAGAAAGTTTCTCCCTTGAGGCGCGGGGTCCGTCTCAGGATGCGTCGGCATTCTTCTTCATCCTGACAGACGATTTTCAAAGGACGGAACCTGGCTGGGTCCTCTGGTTTTCTGCCAAGGCGAAAAGCAGAGATTAGATTTATTCCTTGCTCATGCTCATCAAACGACATGGAGACCATTCGTTCAAGGAAGGGTTGGTCGTCCAACATCCTTTCAGCTGGAGTCTCTTTGTTGGATTCTGGGACTTTTGTGATTATCAGGCAGCGGTTACGAACAGACCCCTTGTCTTGTTCCGGTGATGCTTGCTTTGGTGGACATTTCTTTTCTCTGACAAGTTCTTCAAGCTCCGCTGCTCTATTTAAGACGAGCTTTAGTTCCACGTTTTTCGTGCTTGATTTTCTCTTGGGTCGTGAGGAAATCTTCTTTGAGGCTTTGTTTTCAGCTATGGTTGTCCTTGATTTTGCCGTGGTGCTAGCGCTCGCGACTGCGGCATATGACATGGACTTATGCATAAGTCCATTCCCGTTCTCTCTGGGCAACGGTGTTAAGTCCAGCGTGGTGGACGACGCGCGGCTTCGTTTCCCTTTCGGTGTAGAATACCCAGAAGACGGCAGACACACTGCAGAATTAGGTGTCTCGCTGTCCGAGTTAGAGACGGCTTGCGCGGAAGCAGTGTGTACGTTGGAAGGGTTCGTCAGAAGTTGCTTGTCGCTGACCAATGTTAGACACGAATCGCAGTGAAAGTTGATGCCTTTAGAGGTAGTGCGCTGAAGACATTGGTAAAGATCATTATTAATGTTACAGAAGACTATATGCATCCATCTGTCGCACAGTGCGCATTGGACGGCCTTTGAACATGAGGTGACGCCCTTCCCACAGTCTACGCACATGGATGTCACACTTACCAGAAGAAAAATTTGACTACAGTCAAATTTCGTCAAAAGTGTCTATCCAAACACTTTTCTTCACGAGAATTTCACCTAAAAGGCTCGAAAGTATAACACGTCAGAAAGAGAAGTTACCGCATGGTTTGTAAAAGGGTTTAAAGCAACACGGGATCGGACACGACATTTATTAAGCATTTGTCACCAGAATGCTTATTGAGGTGCTGTTGAGTCAGACTGGCCCACAACCTTTTACGACCTATGTGAATTTGCTTCAAGTTAATCTGCAAGTGGGACGGGGAGGATAGGAATATCCCATGAGTTTTCCCTCTTCAGCGGGTCCTGGCACCAGGAGTTGATAATGGACGTTGAAATACGGTTGGACTTAAATCAAAGACTGCATCACGCCCTATTCAACCAAGTGTTGCCCGTGCATCCGGCCATAGTAGTCGGTTTACTTGAGGTGAGAAATTGAAGACTGTAAACTCAGGGGTAGGAAGAGAAAGGGAAAGTTAAACAAGTAGAATACCATGTTATTTGCATCTTTAGAATAAGAAGCGAAAACTGAAGATGAGTTAGTTAGGAAAAAGGAATGGTTTAAGCTTTCATCCAGTAGCATCGAGCTGACCGTATGTTTCCTAACCACATGGCCTGGAAGTGAATTCTAGCTATCTATAACTCGGCGCGACAGGAAAGTTTCCGTTTTAAGCTGTTCATACAGCGTTTGATGCAACTTCCATGGGTTACCTCGGTGCTTTGGTAACTTAGCGGGACTAAATAGCCATGCACAACCCAGCCATTCTTACC